ATGATGATGATGATAGTGTTGGTGGTGGTAATGAATATAATGTTGGTAGTGACACAAGATAAGTATTATGATGATGATGATGATACAGGATGATACATGATGGTATTGGTAGTGACACATGATCATCAGTATGATGATGATAATAATGCATCACAATAACATTAACTAATGATGACAATGATATGCTTTCTCTCCAGGTGACTGCTCTTGGTCAAACTGAGTGCATCAGTGGTTTTCTCGGCATTGACATTCCACCCCCCAGGGGACCCTTATGGATTCTCGGTGATGTCTTCATTGGTCCATACTATACAGAGTTTGACTTGGGTGCCAATCGTGTTGGTTTTGCTGAAGCAGTCTAAGTACAAATTATGGATGAATGCATGTGCTATAGATGTATTGCCAATTACTCTTGTGAGATTTTATACTCACAAAACGAGAGATGGATGAAACGATATAATGTAGTGAAGTATATCATATGAAAAGCTTAAATTTCTGATGTGAAAATTCTTAATTAATGCATAATCGTGCAACAAACAGTAAGCAGTAAATATTGTGTCATTTTCATCAACATCTTGCTTAGTTTTACTCACATAGCTTTAAAATGGAGTGTCAATCTGCAATGTACATTTGATTTTTTTCATACAGTTTGGTTTGAGTACAATTTTTTATGAAAAATTTGAAAAAAAATAAAAGCCGTTGATATTTAATTTGTCTTGAATGAATGTTAATAGTTGCAACACTCGATGTGCATGGGTGGATTTGGGGGGGGGGGGGGAGGGATGGTGCTGCATCATGTAACAACACTTCTCCATTTTAAAAAGATGCAGGAAAAAATTTCCCTCGTGTTGACAAATGTTTGTGCACCCTAACCGAGTCAGCGTTTCTACAGCTTCCATAATACAAATTACGATAGGCCAAGTGCATTCCTAATCATTGCACGATTTTTGCAGCACCTGTCCATGATGGCACAGCTTCAGCAAATGCGAGTAAACTGGCGGGTGGGTACCTGCTTGCATGCGTACATGAACTTAGCATGGCCTTGCCAGATGTGGTCACTGACTGTGCATGGGCTGGTTGGGTGGAGGTATCATCACTATCAGACATAATCCTTCCTCTCTTCAAGCACAGGAAGGTTTTAACCTTGGGTGTGTGTGAGGCAGGGTTGCCATGGAGACCTGCAGTTCATTCCCTTTCGTGTGTCACCCAACCTTCAGCTTATTTTTTGGCGAAGAGTAGGATGATGCGGTGCCGGCATAAACCTCTAAAAAGCAACTTTAACCCCTAAAAGAGAGATTTTGAACGTCTCCCTGATATGATTTTAACCTTAAAAGATACCCCTTTGAAACAAGATAATCGTTCAAGTACCCCTTACTAATACCGTACGTGTTGAGAACCAACAGTTTCTCCTTTTTCCCCTCTAAAAAAGAAGGTGACTAACGATTTCAACCCCTAAACGATACGCCCTAGCTTCTTTATATGAGAGTACCCCAATCCACGGGGCGATTTCATTTTAACGTGTTCGTCTTTCCTATGGGTGGCAAAGGGTTACGCGTGACAGGTGACGCGGGCGGAGCAAAACATTTTTCTCTCATGAAAAAGGTCCTTTCAATGGATGTGAAATAATCATTGTCTAATGGAGTTCACATCCAGTGAAAGGACCTTTGAAGCTTTCATCAACTCTTAAACCATTTTCGTCCATTCGCTCTTTTTACATATTTATCTTTTTGCTCCTTTTTAATAATGGATGGGCTATTAAGATTCTTTCTATAGTCTATTTTATAGTTTTATTGATTATTTGTTTTTTGTTTTTTGTTTAGCAAAACATATAACTTTTCGATTATGAAATAAAGGTCCTTTCAATCAACCAAACAACCAAAACGAGTTGTAATCAATTGAAAGTTACGAAAAAAATGTTAAACCATTTTTTCAGGAGACATACTTTTCAGGTCACCCATCCAGGTACTAACTTCGCTCAACCGGACTTGACTTAGAGCCATAATATGAAAGCCCACGTTTTATCCACAGAACCACGGTTCCAGGTTAATCAGCATAACAATAGTAGTGAAAACAATGCACCGGATAGACTAGACTTTTTAACATTACTTCATCAACCGATTCCGTGCGTGGCAGAGATGCAAGGGATTAGCCGATATGGTCTGGGGGCCGGCTGGTCTCTCCCCTGATGCTTCGGCTAGAACATT